CTCTGTGACCAGCTGGACATTATCATCCCGCACAGCTCTTAGCTTAACTTCTTCAAGACGCTCATGAGCCTATAAACACAAACACAACAACAAAACAATGACCAGTTTATCCGGCTGTCTGCTGAGAGCATGGAGCAGTGAATACAATGACGCTCAACCCCCAGTGTTGCTGACTAGTGTACACACACTGTATGTCAGATTGAAGAGGTCAGACACTCCATACACCCAATGTAGCAGGTAACCTACAACCTTAGGTAACCAAAGAAAGCAGTGCTCCATTTCTGAGAAATGAGGACAAGAGCTTGCCTTAGTGACAGGTTTCATATAGAAGGGAATCTATTAATAGATTTGGTAGATGGACCATGTGACCTCAATCTGCATTGGAGATTTATTTCTGTTATGCAAGCAAATTGTTCTTCATGCTGTCAAACTCTTTTAGCTATGTGGAATCATTGATTTAACTCCTGTTAAAAAAGGAACATTTCTATGTCAACTTAAGCTAAAGTCAAGTATAGTTTGTGATTAGAAAGTCATAGTATAGTATTTTCTCAAAAGCACAGTATGTCATTAAAATAAATCTGTATTCTGTCATAGAAAATGTCATAACAAAGTCATAGTATAGTATGATACTATATGGATCTATATTTAACCTTCATTTCCTGTGGCTAACAGATACATTTGCTGCTCTCATATCTAGAGCTTTGTGACCAGCTAATGAGATTAAAACAGAGTGTGTGTGTGTGTGTGTGTGTGTGTGTGTGTGTGTGTGTGTGTGTGTGTGTGTGTGTGTGTGTGTGTGTGTGTGTGTGTGTGTGTGTGTGTGTGTGTGTGTGTAAATGTTCTACCTTTGCCAGGGAGCGGACAATTGGGCTCTCCATGATGCCTCTGAGGAAAATGAGGTCAATATCTTTGGCTCCTGAGCCCGAAGGCAGGTCTTTCAGGTTGTCCAGTACCTGCTGCATTGCTAAGAGAAGAAAAAGAAACTTCAAAGATTGAGCTGACAGAATCTCAACTGCACGCTTTACTACTTCCGAGCTTATGAGCTTTAAGAATGCGGGCAGAAATGTTAGAGACAAACAAAACTCATAGCCAGTAAAAATGCAAATGTAAAACAAAACAATGCGGCTATAATAAGAGCCAGAACAATAAGTAGACAGTCATGAATGCGCCAATTCAGAGAGAAGATCCCTTATTTCCATTGCAGCAGAAACAAGCACGCAGTCACAAAGGAATTGTTCTACTAACATAACTGCATTGTAAACTCTGACAGTACGCAGCAAAAAACTGAAGCCCACGTTGCTGACGAATACAGACAGTTTTTCAAATATAATGCTTCGATGAAATGAAAAATTGCCTTCTTTACTTCCCGGAAATTATTATTTCATTATAATAGAAACAGTCATGCAATGTGTTGTTTTACTTTAGGAGAATACGAAGGGGGAAAAAAAGCATGTCTGTGCAGTCACTGTTTTGCGAGTACTTTCTGTAAAAAAAATGGAGTTGTGGTTATTGTGAAACACAGAGGGACACATGTAAAAGTTCAGAGAACACACAACTATCTCTGGGCAAATTTGAATAAAATGTCAAATCTTGGATACAACAGTTCCCATGCAAACAATTAGTTAGGACTTTGTCTTTGACTTCTTACCTTTGGCAGACTGTGCATTGGCCACAGTCATGATTAATAATCCTCTGCTCAGGACGGTGAAACTCTCAACTGCCTGCTGACAGAACCCAGAACAACTGGAGGGCTAAAAAGAAAGCGCACTCAGGTCAGTATACTGTGTGCTCAGATCATCATACTTTACAAACCATGTCATGAAATAAATGAAGCTGAAATTACTAACATCGAGCTGTTAGAACATAAGTAGATAGTATGAATGCACGAGAGGCACAATAACACAGAAAACATGTGTTTGTCTTCCTGTTTCATGCACTTGTTAGCACAGACAGCTCTTGTGAATTGAGGGAATGAAAAAGAGGTCCATTGAATGACAAAGGATGAGTCTCTAGTCCTTCTGGCTAAAGGTTGTGCCAGCCACACACACAGGGAGGCCCCCGGGGAATCTGTTCAAACACGATCTCCAAACAGAGTGAGGCAAAAACAGCACTACCAATGCCTAAGTGTGTAGGTGGACAAACAGAAGAATGGACTTTTTGAGCATAGGCCCCATTACCTCTCAACAGTAAACTGTATTAACATCATGATTGTAACAGTGTACAAAATGTCAACAAAAACAGCAAAAACTCAAATGATAATCCAGAGCAAAAAAAGACAAGAAGGGCACAAACTCACCTATAAACTATATTCAAATCATCAGTGCAGCACTCAGACACAGGTTTCTTACAAAACACTCATCTGGTACCTCTGGACTAAAGGGAAAGTAGGAAAATCATAAACATACAAATATTATTCTTGTATCATCGAGTTGTCCAAGAAAACCTAAAAACCCTTAATGACAAATGCTGCTCATTGTGGTAAGTAAAGTCCTCCCTACCTTAACAGTATTTGGTTGTTTTTAGTTAGGTGTTTTGTATGTTGTTAATGTTTTTACATACAATTATTATATCTTTTTTTATCTAGATAATGTGTTAACAGAGCTGTATCTTCAATACTTTCTGCTTGCTTAGTGTAGTGATCCCTATTATCAAGCCTCTATTAGCTTATTAGGGTGTTCCTTTACGCATATCGTCATTATGTCTTGTAGCTGTATTTTAACTATTTTTGAATAAATTAATAAACTAAATAAAAAGTTCAAAATATCAATGTCAATCAGCTTAAAAAAACCAACACCAGTGGGGCTTTAACTTCAATGTAAGATTTGTCTATGTGCTAGTCTCTCTGTGTTACTGGGTAGGAAGGCAAACTGCAGGTTAACACATTACATACAAATAGGTGAAATGGAAGGAGTACTACAACACAGCTAAATTAGAAAGACTGGGGTGTTTACATTTCTAAAAACTGAGATCTTAGACGCCCCGAAAAGTATATTGCATTTTCATCACAATGTTCATAAATGAGAGCCAGTAGAGTTGATATAGAGAGTAGACAGTTAAACCGCACAGGAGGAGCAGCCGGGTGTAGTGACGTGAAGGCTCTGTACGCAAGGTAGCAGATAAGTTAATAAATGGTATATAAGTTTGTTTTCCTGTCATGTAATAAGACTGTAGTAACTTAAAGTGGACTTACACCAAAAAAGGCAGCCTCCAAGAAGCGTGTTCGCTGCAGTGATTTGCTGTCAAGCTACATGCGCACTGGGCACGTGTAACGTTTACCACTTTCAATGTGAGGTAACTTAGCCTAAAACGACAACAAGCCATGTGTAGCTAATTAGCGCTGGTAAACACCGATGTTAGCGTTAACGAACAACATTGCGATGTTATTTTCACCATGCTGAACTGCAGCTACGTGGTGCCTCCACTAGTGCCCGTCCCGTACCAAGTTGAGGCTAGCCATCACTAGTTTGTAGCTCATCTGAATGCAAGTTAGCAATGCTAATTGTTGCTAGCAAACACTGAATAGCCTTTCCATGTTGCACGTTAAGTTACTTTCAGACTGACATAATGCTACCATAAACGAGCAAAATTACCACTGCTACACTGTCTGTTAAATGTTTCAATGTGAAGTGATTCTAGCGTTATGGTTAACCAGTCATTAGATAGTTACGTTAGCTAATATCATGTGGCTCAGAATAGCTAGCTAACGTTAGCTGGTCGTGAGAACCGGGACACTACAGGGTCCCATGGTGAGACCCCTCAACGTTACTCAATTGTCTGTTGAAATGAATGAATGATACATTACCTCATTTATCCATTACCATCCAGTCACGCTTTCATGCTTCCCTTCTACAGTTTCTTAATTCGCACACCACTTGCGCAATAGTAAATCGTTAGTGCATTTCCAGCCTGCGCTCCTTCCCTCAGTTCCCCGTCCACACAGACAGTGATGTGCTAATGACATCCTATCCTATGCCGTTATCTGGTACATTGAAATCCTGCTCAACCCACCCATACATTTACTCTAAACCTTATGTATAAATAACAGTAGTTGACAAAAGGTGTAACTTTATTCAATATTGTTCTCCCTATCACATGGAACGACCCCTAACAAAATGTGAGCTTTGATTTGAGCCTTTACTCTCTGCAATATTGTGAGTTGACACCTCAGTTGTTTGTTAACCATAAATACAAATTTAGGCTAGCTATTTTAAACTTTAAATATCTATTTGTGAGTAGAATATGTACCAAAATGATAATATAGAGAGCTTTTACTATATTGTTAGTATAAGCATTTAAAAATGTTCTCACTGGCAACACTTCATGCATCATATCAGTGCCTACAATTGCATAGCCAACAACATATTTAAGAATTAAACTTTTACGAAACACTTACCCCATGAGGAACGTATACTGTATTGTATATTTCTACCATAGCCCTTGTGGTACCATCCCTACATCTGGCTTCAAATAACAGAATGTCTACCACCCATCAGCATGCAGCACCAAGAGATATCCAATTCACCAAATCTGGTAATTCTGCTGCACTGAAGCTTCTTTGAAAACCCAGAGCTTTCATATAGTTACAGAACGCCAGTCTCTTGGACCGAGTTAACCAGAGTTGTGCTGCGTGATGTATCCAGGTCACTTGATTGGATTAAACTGTTAATCTATTTTCAGGCAAGGTGGAGCCACATCTCATCTGGCTTGAAAGAAACCAGTTAAACAAATGCAACACGTGGTGTGTGAAATTAACAGTTAATTTGTATTTTACTTTCCCTAAAAATATAACATTAGCAACAGTCATGAGTTATGAGCTACATGCCGAGCTTGAAAATGTTAAGATGCATGTTCGCCAGTAGACAGCACTGTTACTCCATCAGAAAATGACACAAGAAATACGTTGCTGACACTAGAGATACAAGAAATGCAAGGTAGTACTACTGAGTGTTAATCAACATTACAGACCAAACAAGTTACGCAACACAATTTTTATTCCATGCAGTACAAGTTGATTTCATGTGGATGGAGCAGCTTTGTCGTAAAATCCGCCTGGACATGACAGCTCCAGCAGCATCACCACAGTGGCAGCCCATCATACCTACAACACGAGGAAGTGAAATCAAATCTTTGTTTTCTGACAGACTTTAAAACCCATGTTAGATGTATTACTGTCCATATTCACATACGAGAGGAAGACCGTGTAATACAAAGGTAAAATACAAATAAATGAAATCTAATACCACCACTAAATACAAACCAAAACAATTCCTTAACAAAGTGTTACCAGAAACATATCAGCTTTAGCTTCAAAATAATTATGAATGCACATTAATTACTTAAGCGTCTTTGAGCATTAGGAAAAGCGCTATAACAATCCCATGTATTATTATTATTATTATTATTACATTGCTGGTGTATGGAACTTCACTACATTGCAGGTTTGTAGTTATATAAACTCATATTGTATCAGGCAATAGCCTACAGTATTTTGGATAAAACTGATAAAGACACAACAGATTATTTGTAAAAAGAAATTGAGTGATTTACCTGCCATAGTTAGATCCTGGAAAACTCTCTGAGCTCCCCCTCACCAACGCATCTGAAAATACAGTATCTGGGGTGTCACGTTTCCCATACCTATGCACAAAAAAAATCAAGTAACACATTAATATTTAATTACATGTTCTTTTAAAATGTATTATTGCAACAGTATGTTATAGAAACGGAATAACTAACCTCTGTCTCGTAATGAGATTGATGTAGTGTCTTAGTGCAGAATAATATTTGGCGATCTCATCAAGTGGGGCGCCTTCTCGGGGGCTGACAGGCTTGGCTGGATACGCGTTGATGCCAGAGTGAACACAAGCCAGCAGGCAGAGAGCCAGCGACATCACAGTGCTGGAGCAAAACCTGGATCACAGTCAAAATACATAAAAAACAAAGTGTCATTCAGCAATTTCACAAATCAGAAGCCACATATTGGACTGATAAAATAATATAAATTATTTAAGAACAAAAAAAGAATGATTCAACAATGTAAAAATGGCCAAAATAAGAAGATGGTGTAGCTTTTATAGCAGCTATACACCATAAAAACGACCAGATCCAACATTAACTACTGACATTCAATTTACAAAATGTGCTTTAAAAGGAAAAGGTAGGAAACAAAAAATGCTTACATTGTCGTGCAACTCTTGGAAATTCTGCTGTAGTCGGTTTTCTTGCTGGTCAAGGCTCCTCTGGCAGATTTCCAACATTGCCTGTGTTTTATACAGTGTGTCGAATGGGGAGGGGGTGTCATCTGATTCACTTTTAGGGTACTCCTGAGAGATATCTACTGCTTCATTAGTTTAGTAATTACTGATTGCCAAAGCAGTGAAACAAATGTAGATGGTCTGTAACAACATTGTAATCAAAACATGTAAGTGTTCACAGCATTACATTAATTGAAATATTTAATATTTTACTTGGAAGGTGTTACGTTTTGTTATCAATATATTAAAATTAACTGCATTTATAATAATCTTGCAGAAGGCAATATGTCTGCCTTTAGGATACTAATGTATGTTTTTCAACATGATCAACTCTGCAGCAAACAATGAGTTGAGTTATTCATTCATTTTCAAAGGCACACACAACTAATTAAAATACATGTAAAATGTAGTTTGTTTTATCCCTATTCATTCTTGACTTTACATAAAATAGGGTGGCCTTGAATGTTTGAAGGGTATAAAGGTGTACCCTTGCAAATTCCATTTTCTTCCAAAAAGAAATGTGAAAACAAAGTATAATCATTTGCAAAGTAGTGATAAAAGCAGAGACCAAACTATATTAATTTAGAGTGTCCTTTTAAGAGTCACAGCCAGCATGACGCATCTTCATAAAACCTTTGATGTGTTGCTGATGACGGTCGGCTGTTTCACATTAACGTGATATATACTCCCGAACCATTGACCGCTGTGAAAGTGCATATGAGAATAAAGACCATGCGATAGCTTGACCCCAACGGGGCTTTAATGAGTTAGCTACCATTGAAAAGTGAACTATTAATTTAGCATCAATGCACAAAGGATAGCAACATAGTGAAGCAATAAGGAACCCTACCAACACTACAGGAATGATATATCATTATAATACAAGATTGTAAACCAAGCTCTATGGGCTCAATGATCAATATCTAAATGATTTACTCCAAGGTATATATGTTTTCCTATATATGGACATTTACTTAATTAAAAATGTAACTTGTCCTTTGAGGATTTAATGAATCACCACAAAAAAGTGGGTTTGACAACATCACTACCCATTCTTCATTCATCAACCATTCTTGTTTCTAAATTAAATACAACAGAAAGGCTTTACATGTTACGGGGGAAGAAAAAGAATAAGCTTGATTTATGCAAATTTCACTTCTCTTCCAAAGAAAATTTCAATGACAAAGTATATATCTTGGCAAAGTAGTGATAAAAGCAGAACATTCAGAGGGTCCACTTAAGGTTCACAGCCATCATTACAGCTCTCAATAAAACCGATGATGTGTAACTTTAAATGGCTGATGCCGGTCAGCTGCTTTTTACATAAAGTTTAAACATGTTGGGAAATATGATGTTTCGGAGGAACGCAAAGGTGGGGTCTGCAACAGGAAACAAAGACATTCATTAATTTAATTATGCATACATATTCTGAAAGGTAGAAAAGGAAAATGTAGTCCTTCTTAACTCTACTTAAACGTTAGCATTTTAAGTCCACGTTAAATATGAAAAGATTGGAACACGGTTGTATTAAGACACTACCTAAACTAAACCAGCAAGAATAGCTACAAATTTCACCAAATCATACAAAATAGGTTAGTCAATCACTCAAACCAAAAGATTTCCAACTTCAAATTGATAGAGCACAAAAAGCTCTCAGCCCCTAAATGGTAAGATTACTTTAATAGCAACTATCTTTTTTGAAGGGCACTCTTGGGGAATTTGACAGTAGAATGGTGCCTTCATTTCCTGACAGTCATTGGAGAACTCCGCTGAGCCACAGCACAGTCTTTGAAGGGAAAAAAACCTATTTTTTTAAGCATCAAGGGTTTGTATTTGAATAGACAGAACAAAGCAAAATATCACTCACAATCTACCCTGTTGATAGTCAGTACAAATTTGTTAATATAAACGTCCTAACATTTTGGGAGATCAAAAATGTAATTCATTGGATATGTTGTGGAAAATATAATTCATCCTGTTCCTCTGTAACCGTGAGTTCTTTCACATGACGAGATCAAAGAGTAGAAACATTACAATATGCAATACCACTAGTGGTAATACATGTTCTAAGAACGATGGGGTTTGTGCTGTATGGATAAATGGCAATAATTAATGCTAGAATTAAATACTTAGTCGCATCAGCTTAAACAGCCACCTGCTGTAAAAGAAGGAACAGGTGCATAATGCACACAGAGCCTTTTAAGTGCCATCTCTGATACGTTAATGTGATCTCTGGTATTACTCCTTCCCTGAGAGAGCACCAGGCACGGTGCCAACTCACCTGAAGGACATAGATTCATATAAAGGAACATAGATATCCACATACTGGTTTTATTCCACAAAAATGTTTTTAAGCAGGGAATTGAAGTTGGAGTCTTGGTTGGTCAATTATTTATTTATTTATAGCCATATACAGTACAGTATGTATACTTTTGTGTAATTTTGTCTGTAGTATGTGGTTGTACTGTATATATGAAATGTATTAAGTGCAAACAAGTGCCAGCTAAATAAATGTTTTGTGCCTCCCAATGTTCGTCATACAGCAATACATCTACAATGCAAGACACTGTGCTACTGCTGTTTTCAAATGCTGACTACTCTCCCTCAATCTCCTCTATCATAGAATATATTAACAGCATGGCCATTAATGGCTACACAACAGCGGGTAAAAGGACTGCAGCTAATGAGAACATTAGCACATGAAGAAACATTTGAGTCTAACAGAACCAATCTTTTTTTTCTTCCACTCGTTTCAATTGTTTCTTTTGAGCCATTTTGTTAATCCACCAGAAAGCAGATGGTTTAATAGTTTGTGAGAGGAAATGTCACAAAATGAATTGCATTAAGAGGATTGCATTAATTCGTTTTATACAATCTCACACGTGCTACTAATACCAATAGTTATTTGACATTCTGTCTTTAGTTAAACTTTGAATATTTTAATTTTGAGTCAATTTTAACTTCAAGTCCAAATCATTCTTGGTTAGTTTTTGATGTGTTTAAAATCCTATGATGGCAGGATTCAATGTTAAGTTTTCATTGAGTCATTTTTCACTTTCAGACCATATAAGTACAAACAACACGACAGAAAGTCACTAAAACATTCAAACACTTAGTTCAGTCAGGCTCTGTGTAGTTATCTCGCTTCATTACATTTTTACATTTAGCTAATGTTCTGATCCAGCATGACTTAAAACAAGTAATTGAAACGGAGCGGTCATTTGCAAGGAAGTGTTAATTAAGGGTGTGTGTGTGTGTGTTTGGATCTGATTCTCCTTAGAAATACTTGTGACATCATGACAGACCCTGAAAATATTTATAGAAACCACAGTGATGGAATTCTTAAAATGTTCACCCAACAATGTTATAGTTCGATCGATGCTTGGTATCCTGTATCCTTAATCTCTTTGAACACGTTGAAAGCATCGTCTCAAATAACACTTTGGCCAAGACTCCTCTTTAACCTGAGGGACTCATTAGAACTTCCATTTGTTGAAAGCATTTGCTGAAATAACACTGCTCGTTTTATTGACCCCCACCCAAAAACCCTTGTTCTAAAACATGTTCTAAACGTAGGATTGCTTCTAGTCTTTCTCCAACAAGAGGCTGCTCAGTCAATAGGACCTTAAGGTGGAAAGTGAGACAATGCAATTACTGTAGTAATGTGCTTCAATACGGCTATGAAGTTCTGGTACTTTCTGGAATATTTGTTCTTTATCTCCAAAAACGTCATTTTAACAGCAAACAAAAAAAGAATGTTCATAGTTCATTCTTTGCCATGAGTACTTTTAGTTGTTTTAATATGTAAAATTCACAACTTTGTATTGAAAAAACCTGTAAAAATGTACATTAATTGAAAAGTATCTAGAATGGTATTAAAATAATGTATTGTTAACCATCACAATATCTAAAAACATACATATTTTATGAGCAGACTGAAAAATGATTTAAACATAATTACTTTATTTACAAATGCTGTTAAACAAATGTGTATACAATTAATCAACGTGGTGGGGACAGTGAGCCCTACAGTTTATCTGTTTGAGAGATCAATCCATTTATCAATTCCAAATACAAAACATGTTGTCTCTTTGACCAAATATGACTTAAGTGACAATAAAGTTGCTTATTACAGGGATAGAGGAGGCTGCATCTAAAGTCACAAAGAAGTAGTCAAGTCGGTTTAAAGTCACAACTTAGATGATTTGTCACTTTGTAACTTTGCCATCATATATAAAGTCTTCCGGTAGGGTCTCCGTGGGCATGCTCTTCAGCTGCTCATCATACTTGCGGAGAGTCCAGAGTTTCTCCAGTTCAAACACTTCTCTGCTCTCCGGTAGCATGAAGTGGACAACCATGTTCCCTGAGACAGAGACAGGGGCAGAAAGGTGAACACCAAGAGTAACTCTATCGACACTCCATTTTATATTAACTGTCTAAAGTAGATATTATAAAATAGGGTCTCTTTGTTTAACATACCAAAGTCAATACACATCCAGTCTTCTGCATCCTTTCCTTCCATCTTGACATCCGGTGCTCCCTCTTTCTTTAGAAACTTGTACTGTTGGAAAATCATGCATTGTTTAGGTTTCAATAACAAACTGCAGATAAAAACATTTATAAGAATATAAATGTTAGTTACCACTTTGATGGCATAAAGGGCCATGGCACGGAGGTGTCTCGGGGATACACCACTGACAACAATAAAGTACTCTGAGTATGTGATCTGCTCTGGTACTTTAATCACACAGATGTCCACAGCATTTTCCTGACGCAGTAGAGAGACCAGAACATCAATGGTAAACTTCTCTGGAGATCCTGAAGAAAAAACAAGGATGAAAAATATTGTCATACTTAAAACAAGGTAAAAAGTTTGCTCAAGAGTAAGTGAACGCGATAGTATATATTTATGTTGTCTTGCATGGTATTGCAAAAGTATTAAATAATTCATAGTCATTTGCTATCCAAACTGTTTCCGAGAGTATAAATAAACCAACAACAAGATATTAAATTGGAGTTGTGTAATGTTATATTCCAGATGTATCTGTCAATCAATTCCAATCTGTATCTATTTATCTGTCTTGTGAAAAAGCAGTAAATACTCACTTTTAAAATAAAATCATAAAGTGATTAAACAGATTTCTTTACAAATTACTTCATGATTGATCGATTGACAATTATGTGTCCATTCATTTCTGTACATCGACTAACAGTGATTATTTGTTCAACTCAACTTTTATTAAGCCATCATACTGTAAAACAAGGAAAGGTTGACCATCATCCAATTTAACAATCTGGAACAAACAAAACCTTGGGAGTTTAGCTTTCCATTATCTTTAACTACATTATGAACAGTTAATTACCTATCTATTGATGCGTTTACTTGTCACTCACGTTAAGGATTTCACCTGCCGTTACTTACTTTGATTCAGTGCACTGCTGTCCCTCTCCATCTCCTGTGATTCCTCTCGAAATACGCCAGTGCTTTTCGTTGATTCATCGCTTTCAGTACAAATCTCTGAGTATAATCTTTTTGTGTCTAAATTGAGTGTGGATACGTGATGTCTGTGCTGACATGAGGGTACATTTGCTGTGAAAAGTGGAGGCAAACACAAGTCTTTACGAGCTTTGGCGACCGAACAGACGCTTCTTAAAACGCCGGTGCGATCCAGTAAAACGCTACTTTTAAATACTGAGATTAGTTTCCTAGACCGAGTGAGAATATTCATGATTTTAACTTAAACAACATCACAGCACACGCGTAGGCAATAAGATAAAACAGGAAGTGACCTTGGATTTTGATTGGTTGGTACGGCTTCTTTGTTGGTCCCTGGCCTCAGATAAATGAAGAGCACCCCTATCGATGACAGATGGTATGGACCCCAGAAAATGAAATGGGTCTGCCAAATTATATAATCCATAATGGATGGCAAATTGAAATTAAGAGACAGGCATTAGATTACATTTTTACATTTATTTTTGTAGGAAAAGTGCAGGAATTAAAAATATATCGTTTTACAAAATCAATACCTTTGCCCTTTATTGGGCTTTCTGTATAAAATTGTAAACATTCTCTAATGTCAGATAATCCACATGAATTCCACCTGAGATACTGTATAATTAAAATACCCAGTACATTGTCCCATTAAAAACAGAAAATTAAGTATGTAAACAAAACATTGTCATGCATGTATAGATCAGAACAATGTCCTTTTTTGTTCATTTTTGTTCCCTTGGACTCTGTTTTCTCGCCGGGTCATCATTAATCAGCACAGTCAGAGTCCATAATTACACTCAGTCTCAAGCCCACAGGAATATGGTCCGTAAGGCCAGCCAGCTGGGTTATAAAGGTCAGCGCCTCAATTTCCTAGTTGGAGACAAAGAGAGTTTGTTTTTGTTAATGCTTTTATTAACTTGCAGTTTAAGATTTTATATAAAGTACCGACTGAACATTGTTTTGCCATAAGTAATTTTTTAATGAATTTTATGTAGCATCTAATATATTTGTTCCTTCAAGAACAGAAGAAATAGGAGGAAGAAAGAGAAGAAGGAGTAGGAGAGATTGTGGAAAACACACAGGGTCACGTACTGTTCGGCAGTGCTTTGAAACGGAGCTCTCGCGGTATAGGATGTAGTCGATCCGACGTCCGATCCACGGCTGGTCGGACTCAGGGTAAACCAACGGGAGGTCCTTTGCAGGAACGGGACGGGAGATGTACTGCTTTCTTAGCTCTTCCATCTCTAAGGTTCTACACACAAACAGAGAAGACAAAATGAAGCTTCAGCAAATAAAAAGTGAGAAAGGAGTTATGTCCATGTCCCATCAGAAGTGCTGTGCAGTGCAAAAAGTGGAACTGACTTTACCTTTGTAGTTTTTCTGGGGTGTTAATGTCATCTTCATACAATGTGGGCTGCTCCAGCAGAGTGCCTTTAGATGCAAACAAATTAAATACCAATTCAATGATGTGTCTTGTCTTGTAGTAGTGTACTGTAGTCTAATGTTTTGAAATGGTACGCACCAATGACCCAGGGCTTCTCTTTTCCAGGCCCTGCCCTGCATGGATCTCTGTATTGCTCAAACAGACAGTGATTCTGTTCCAGGTGGTCATCTATAAAAAAAAAAAACATTAAACATATATAGCATATATAGTACACAACAAAATACAAAAATATTCAAAGTCGCACCAGGTGAGCAGTTGTCAAAATTCAGATCTCCACAGAGCACATCAAAAGCAACATCCTCGTCAGGGAATGTGTTGGCAGCTTGGAAATCGCCAATCCACTTGGTAACCATGTTCAACTGCTCACAGCGAATTTCTCCTTCACCTAATGAAAGAAAACACAGAGCCGTTATCACGGTCTCTTCTTAACTTATTGTCTTTTTTTGGCAAATGCCAATTTTTGTATTATTCTGAGAAGAGCAAATCAGATAAATGTACTTGCCTTCTGGTGCATGAAGATGTGTGCAGTTAAAATAGCCAACCACTCTCTTCTGTTTCGAACTCTGCCCGATTAGCACCTACAATTTTCAAAAACAAGCATAAGCTCTATATTCACTGTGTTCATATTGACAAAGCAATGAATAATGACTTTAAATTCCATAAAACAAGAAGGAAAACTATAATAATTAATAGTGGCTTTAATAGTATTATTAAGAGAGATACCTTAGCAGAAAGGAGGCCCTTGGCAGCCAGTGCATCCTCCCCCCTGCTGTTAGGGAAGCAGTGGTACTGGGCCTCCAGCACAGGGAACCGGCTGGCTAGGAACAGGCCGCTGTTGAGGAACTTGAAAGAGGAACATCTGCATGGTGGCTGGCAGGCATACACACCAACGTCATACAGTATGTGTCCAAACACGGGTCTGAGTGCTTGAGTGAGTTTCTGTGCCGCCCTCTTATCAAACACCTCTTCCAGGCACAGTATGTCCACATTGGCTGGGAACAATGTCGACACCTCCCATGGTACATCGCCCTTCTGGCCGAGACCCTGGGAGAGCAAAGCTCGGGGAGCACTGCGGTGACCCCGCTGGTTGGAGTTTTGATTGGAATTGGAAAGGTGAGACGGTGAGTTGTCCAAGGGCTCTTTTGTATCATCAGAGGGTACACAGACCACTTGACTATTGGACTGTGGGATTGAAACCTGTACTTCATCTGAATTGGAATGATTTACTGGGTACTGCGCTTGTCTTTCAGTAGCCCCGTATGAAGAGGAGTTAGATGCGGGGAGTATGCTGTTTGAGGGGCTGAGAGTACCACAGCTGCTGGGAGAGTCAACGAAGATACGAATATCGTTCCGACACACACCGTGCACAATGTGCTGACCAATAGCAGCTGCCCTCCGCTGAGTGTGCCCCAGGTTGTTAAAACGAGCAAGGCCGTCAGGCAACAGACAGAGGTTGGCTGTGGCAAATCCAAATGATGCCTTTCCTACCAGCTCGAATCCCCTGTGTGTCTCCCTCTCTTGTGAGGATGGGGGCTCTCTATGGTAGCGAAAGGGCCTGCGACAGGCCTGAACAGGTGCCCAGAGAATAAATCCCAATAAGGCGAATGGAGCTGCGAGGAAAAAAAGAATGAAAAAGATAATGAAGCCGAAGAAGACCTTGAGGGGGTTGAGGTAGCATTCCTGTTCCAGTCGCTGAGTTTGTTCCAGGGTGGTAGACTTGCACACAGCAATGAGACGATCGAGAAACCAGAAGCAAGGCAGGATGAGTGCCCATCCCACAGCATGGATGCCTGCAACAAACCCATTAGGAAATGGAGAAGCCTTCAGGGCCATGCCTCTGCGCCTTTTCTAAGCAACAATCAGGAAAAGCAACATGGGGTCTTCACTATTCTAAACACGTTCCCGTTCTAGTCTCATTCTGGTGCAAAGACTCCCTCATTGGCTCCTAAGACAAGAAAAAGAAATAAAAATGTCATGGCATGGCTCTTACAACTCTTGCATCTCCACTATGCGTTATCAGGACTAACTGGTTTTCATTTCAACATTGACTTCATGCCCAAACATTCAGTTGGGGAAACATGTGACAACAAATGCCAGCTGGACTGACATCAGAACAATACAGTCAGGTGCAGGGGGGTGACCAGACCAGCTTAGTGGAAGCTTATGCAGTGAATCATAATCACTTTTAAGGAGGCAAAGAGAAAAACATGGTGAAAACAGCCTATAATACCACGGTCATAATCTGCAATGTTGCCACTGCAACATGAACCTGTCTGAACAAGCACCCCACCCTTGTCTACAAGTACAGAATCATTATGGGTGTGTCAACAAAACATTTTTCTTATCTTGTACTTTCATTTAGAAAAGTATTTAATTCATGTCTAATCTGATGTATTTTAGAAATGACAATATGATATTTTCACATCTGATACAATTTACGGTGGAAAAAACGACCATTATGTACAAAATGTACGCCCTGTTTTAGTGTGGATATGCCCTTTAACTTATATTGCAAAACTCTGACTTAGAACTAACACTGGACAAAAAAACGACACAATACAACAAGGAAATTAGAACTCTCACATCGCCTCACACAAAGATCCTTGTCAAGCCCCTTGTCACTTTGTTATGTTGTTGTATTGTGTAGGGAACAGCAAGGGATGTGAGCTTTCAGTCTCACATGTAAGTAAGGGAGTTGGGTCTCTCGGGAATCATACTCGGATTCATTGTGTGCAAGAATGCTAAACTAATAGTTTCGCTTAATAAACGATTCAGAAACACGTTCAAATCTACAATGTAAATGCGTATGAACGCATTACGTTGGTTGGTCATGATATCACACGGCTATTGTAACCGCAGACTTACTACATGGTTTAAATAGTCTACGTGCATTTAAGTCATCACAAATGAAAGCGGTCACCTGCCCTGTTGCACAGCTAGCTTAAGCACTCGGCTAACGTGGCAGCCCAGATGGTTTTACCTTACCTTGGCACGAAAACTGTGACAGTCCGTCTGATGAACCCAAACAGCAAACCACCTACTAATTAATTAATTGTACTACATGTATTTATTATGTTTTCACATGTTCAAATGAATATAATTAGTAAAAGACAGCCGGTTACTATAGTGGTTCTTTTTGACATAAACCCCTCTGCTCTCACCGGATCATCACACTGGCTTGGCTTTATTAGGCCACGCCCCGATGACGTAGACATGGTGTCGGGTCTGGCACGTGATCTTTACTTGAGGAGACTTCATGGGAATCTTTCTTTACTGTACTTAATTACAATTTGAAGATACTTGTACTTTACTTGAGTATTGCCATTTTATGCAACTGTGTACTCCATTACAGTTCAGAAGTAAATAATGTACTTTTACTCAATTTATTTAGTACCTTTAGTTACTTTACACATTTGGATTAATAACATGAAATATAATTAACACTTAAATAGGACTTGAGTTACAACTGGAGTAAATTGACAAGCTACCCTGTGGTATACAAAGTCATTCAAGTTAGCTACACCTTTACCAGCTGTGATAACAACATCAATACATCAGTAATTATAATCAAAATGTATGATATATATTATTCTGAAATTGATTAATTTGCATAATAAGTACTTTTGGTACTTTAAGTATATTTTGATGCTCATACTTCAGTACTTTTACTTGAGTAATCTTTTGAATGCAGGACTTTTACTTGTAACAGAGTATTTTTACACTCTGGTTTTCCTACTCAATATCTGAGTACTTCTCCCACCCCTCTTACAAACTATGAATATTTCTTTCATTCATAACTTTCAAACTAAAAATGCCATGACTTCTGGACAGTCACCAGAGCTGCACACAACATTTGAGCATACAACTTGATTTGGTCTGCATAGGCCTATAAACAAAATAAGAGCATTTAAGTTCTAAAAAGAGGAACATATATAACTATTTTCAAGGGTATTTTATAATTATTAATTTAAGTACAAAACATGTTTACAATAAGTAAGCAATTGAAGGGCTTTACTCTGAGATTTAAAAATGTGCAGTATATCAGAATGTATAGCAATATGTAACTGCAGAATTAATGATTATTTCACTTTCTAAAACAATTAGATGCTGTAGTCGAAGAAAAGGAATGAATGTCATTATGGTTTGTCCCCTAAACAGATATGTGTCCAACCCTCGACTCATCAGTTGTCAACTAAACATTATATTTCCAAATGCAGAATAGCTTGGTTTCAGGCCTCTCCATTGCAGCTCACATTATCCATAAACATAATGACAATTACATTTGATTATCAGGTTAGCACCGTGACATTCAATACACCCTTTAGCAGGCATCAATGTTTAATAGACTTTTTCTTCACGATCTAGAATGTCAGTGTTTTGTGTGTGCACAACATCATAGCCATACAACATATTGTGTCTTATTATTTATAAGAGTTTAATTTTTGGATGGTAAGCTGTACCCTTCTTTGGAAAGTGAAGTCTACCAGAGAAGGAGTGCCTTTCCATCCCTGTCAGCCATAGTGCAGAGGCAGGTGAGCAGAACCAGCAGGTCCCTCTTAAGCTCTCTTGGTGCTTTGGTCATTATCAGTTTCATCAGAAAATTGGGATTATTGTAGTCAGTTGCCTGGTCACTGCTTTCACCCGGCCTCTCCTTCAGGATCCCATAGTGGTTGACAATAAATTCAGTGAAGGAAGGGTGAAGTTCTGTTTTATACCCGACCTTGTTCAACTTCTTCATGAGGTCAGCGTGCCTCTGAATGAGATGCAGCTGATAGCCCTCATCTACCTTTCCTGTCAGTGGGTGTGTTGATACCTGCAAGACAAGAAGAAGAGCCTTGACTTCCTTCTGATTCATATAAGTGGAATGTTACGGTTGTTCAGATTTGATGGCTTATCTGTGCACTGCAAAGTCACTCAACCAGTTGTTTTGATAGATACACAAATAGAAGTCTTCCATTCTGACCTCTTTTATTTTCCCTGGGATATTGAGCAGTGTGAAACCATAAAGCCTCTTGTGGCCCTGAAAGATGTGGGACAGAATTCTCCTATCCAGTTGGTAGGCAACCTCTCCCATCACCCTGTCTGGACCTGCGATCAAATAATTGACATGAATAATTGTTTTTGTTTTTTAAAAGCGTGCAACTGAGCAGTTGCTTTCAAATGTCTGTATAGTCGTCCCTCACCTTTGACTTCAATATGAGATTCAGCCTGGGAGCTTTGAAACTCTGCTCTGTCACTTACAGCTGTATGCACCGAGCTTTGGATGAAAGACGAGAAGTCGACAGGGGACGATGTTCGCTTGAATTTGGTTTGTTGGATGTCTTTTTTGAATTGTCTCTCGTCCACTGTGTTTTGACACAGACTGGTTGCTTGTTTTACTGATGTTGAGCAAACTGATGGAAACAAAGTGGTTTGTTGTTATTGTCATTTATCATTTATTACAAGATTTGATGCTGTAAAGAAATAAAACATGAAATGCTTCTACCTAAATTAACTTGAATTGTCCCTTACACTTTCTTGTACTGTAGATATAGTTTTTGATTCTGATTTAGTTAATTTTTTTTTTGATTGACATTTGAATTGAAGATGTTGATTTCTATTTGCTGCTTTATACATTATATTCTCTTAAAGATTATAATATTATTAACGACATCTAAAGAAACATAACTCTCAGTTTGAGTACAACATTCTAAATGTAACCAAATAACAGATTTATTTACATATTCATTCCTGGATTTGGAATGTATCCTAATGCCAATGAAAATGTATTGATATATCGTTTTCAAATATACAGCTAAGGGATAGATACATTGCTTAATTGGAATTAAAATGTCAGCTGTTTGGTTTGAAATATCTCATTACAAAGTAACATTATTAAATACCTAAGAACAAGTCAATTTATGCTGTTAAGACAATATCTTTGGAATTGCATAGCTAAGAAAACAATCAGGACAGTTATGTTACTTGCTGTTAAAACATTCTGAAAGAAAAAATGGTGTTCTATTATAAAGAATATTTATTTTACACCCTAAAAATATTGCATGAGTTTCAAAAAACGTTTTGCCTTTACTGTGGCACAGCCATAGGTAACTATAACTGCTTTGAAAACAAAGGCAATCTGAAGTGACCATAGCTGTTTAAGGTTAACAATTGTTATCAATTATATTCTTATAATTGTGCCATTACCTCGAAGCTTAAACGGCTACCTGACTGCCATCTAGTGGCAGAGACAAAAACACTTCAAATACCTGTTATATCTTCCAGAGTGTCAGTGTTGGAGCTCTGCATCTTGGATCTCAATTCTACATTTTCCTTCACTAAACCTAACATAGACTTCAACAGATGGTTTTCCTGCCCGAGCTGTTCATTTTTTGACAGCAAGACAGCAACAGTTTGCTCCAGGTCCATTGTGGGGCTCCCAGGTTCACAAATGAGCCACAGAACAACCCAAGACTTCCTGGATTTCAAATTCTTTTAGATATCAAATCACAACAGAACTGAGTTCTCTAATGAGATTCTGCCAGGATTCTTTCATACCATAACACAACAACGGAGATCAGGTTTATAAAATAACTTTATATATAGCATTGCAGGTCATTCTGTATCTTAGTTTCACAAAAACCCAGGGTCTGATGACTTACATTATCTAGATATGTAATCTTCAGCAGCTTTTACTCAGTTGCCATGGTGATGCATCTATTGACATGCAAGTTAAGCAACTGGTATGTTTTCATACACTCCCTTTTTTTATAGCTTTTTTAAGCTGCTGGCTTATAGGTTACACAGGTACATTTAACCCTGGAAAAGTTTATTCAACAAATAATCACAACTCAAAATCCACTTCACTGTCTTTTTCCAAAGTTTTAACCACATAACAAGATCTTTATTAAACTACTTCTGCTGATGAAGGCTGTGTGACGTCTAGAGCCAAATATGTATACAGTTGATTTTATATGTCATAATCAAGTTTTGTACAACACACTCAATAGCTCATAAAGTGTTAATGAACCCCCAAACTACAGCAAAGACAATCTATATAATAAAAAATAAAAAAAAACATTTACATTGGGTGAAGCAAAACATTTTCAAACTATGTGATCAAAGTACACTACAAGACTAAATTAAAATCAGGATATAGGTAAAGCACTGCTAGACACAAACTCAAAGCGATTTTCAGCAGAATTTTAAACTGTTGTTGGTCCAGCTCAGCTTCCCCTTGCTCTTCCAATGATAGCAAGAATATACAGGAAGATGTTGATGATGTCCATGTACAGGTTGAGAGCAGCAAAGATATATTCCTCTGGACTCAGGGACAATTCCTTGTTGCCCAGCAGCAGCTGTGTGTCCACCGCCAGGAACTGTAACATAGAATATATTCACAATGGGTTTACTACACATTTTGTGTCATGTTAATAAGCAGTATTTTAAATATCTACTTGTGTGAGTGTTTGATCACCAAAATCAGGTTCTCATAAATGTTTGAGACATTGCTAGCCATTTTTAGACCGTTTAGTTAGAACAAGAATACTAAATGCTACCAAATGGTGCAAATAGGCATAAAACACTCAAGATTCTTTTTCAAAACGTGTTATGAACATCAGATCCTTTGCCTTTAATCTAAACTAAAGCAACACTATTAAGTTTATTTAAAAAAAAAAGAAGGAGAAATAGTACAAAAATAGGACTTACACAGGTGAAGAGCAAAGCTCCCAGTCCAGCATACACAATGTGCAAAATCCTGTCACGAATGAAGATGCAGAGGATGCCGAAGATCAACAGGACAATTAAGCAGACGAAAAGCACCCCGTAACAGGAAGTGAAATCGTACTTGGTCTGTGGGAAGAGGCCATGAGACATTAGGGTTACATCACACATTAAGGTTGTTACAAATCGCATGCCTACAAAGTGCATGGACTGACCTGCATGGAGAAGATGACCACAGTGAAGCACACGACGGCTGTGATGCCCACTGCCATGACGACTGTATCGGTGTCATGGAAGCTTGAAATCATTCCCACCATGTAGGACATGCTGAGAGTCAGGACAGACTGGAGGCAAGAAACAGAAACACATCAGCAAGTTTCAGGGCACTAATAGGAAGTTGCAAATCATTTTGTTGTTACTAAACAGTGATTTTGAAAGCTCTCTTAATGTAATATGTCTAATATGTTAGGAATAGGGAAGTCTGATATCCTAAATGTATGCTGAGCACTTCATTAATACAAAATGTTTGTCTCGTTTTTTTACTATACCACATAAAAAATGCTTTGACGTTGTTTAAAACATTTAATTTAAGAAAGCACAGTAGAAAAAGGTTTTTCCAAGACAAGTTGTATGATTCAATTGTCAAGATAAAATCTGAGCAGGCTTACTAATGCAACCAGGTTCCAAGGATGTCTTCGGCGAACGCTTCCACAGCAGCTGATCACACACAGCGACACAAAGAATATGACATAGGACACAAGGTAGGTCCAGGTGTTCACCATGACAAAAACCTTGACTTCCTTCACAAAAGTGAAAACAGCCACAAAGGCGAACGTCACCATCAGCTGAGCAGTCAACACCAAGAACACCTGAAGAGAAGAGTGGATTATTAGACAGCAGACACAGATCCTATTTCTTACAAAGGTTGTCTATTGTTTTTTTGAAGATGGATCTCATGTTGTATCAAAGAACATGATTCAATCTACAACAGAGTTTATGTTTTAGGTTGTGTTTGTGAGTCAGCAAGATATGTGAAATGTTGTGGAAAGTATGGCAAGACAGCAGGAAATATGTATTTTATATTATTTTAACATTAAACGATTGTGCTTTACTTTACATAGAAGCATCTAGTGTTTGTTTATCACAAAATGCATTTTTTTTTATGTAAATCCATATAAAGATGCAGATAAATACATCTCTAAATGATGCAGCTTCAAGACATGCTGGCTGTTGTTGACAAATCAAATGACAATAAAAAGGCACTTCAATGCAGGCTTCAAAATCTAAAAATTCTTTAACCTTTTTTTGACCACAAGATCTGCTTACCTTTCGAATGAAGGCTCGTCTTATGCTCTTGTTATCTAATCCAAAATCAAATTCTTGATTCTCATGAAAGGGTGGTGGCTCTTCCTCGCTATGGTAAGCATTATCTGCATTGACACCAAACAGAAACATGACATGTGACACAATGAATGTAACAACATCAATATAAAGAATGCACCAATGTAAGACATACTAACCATTGAAGTTTCCATTAGACCCTGGGCCTGGAGGAGAATATGGTGAGGGTTTGCCTCCATATCCTGGACCATCTTGGGGTTTCATTCCAAAAGCTCCAGGAACACCTGGCCCGAAAGCAGTCGGTGGGGGGAAAGGGAGACCACCGGGAGCAGGGAAACCCCCAGGAGCAGAGAAACCATCAGCAGCAGGAACACCACCAGGAGCATTGAACCCACCAGGAGCATTGAAACCACCAGGAGCATTGAACCCACCAGGAGCATTGAAGCCACCAGGAGCATTGAAACCACCAGGAGCATCGAACCCACCAGGAGCATTGAAACCACCAGGAGCATTGAACCCACCAGGAGCATCGAACCCACCAGGAGCATTGAAACCACCAGGAGCATTGAACCCACCAGGAGCATCGAACCCACCAGGAGCATCGAAAGCACCAGGAGCATTGAACCCACCAGGAGCATCGAACCCACCAGGAGCATTGAACCCACCAGGAGCATCGAACCCACCAGGAGCATTGAAACCACCAGGAGCATTGAACCCACCAGGAGCATCGAACCCACCAGGAGCATTGAAACCACCAGGAGCATTGAAACCACCAGGAGCAGGAACACCACCAGGAGCATTGAAACCACCAGGAGCATTGAAACCACCAGCAGCAGGAACACCACCAGAGCCGTGAAAATCACCAGGAGAAGGCCCAAGGAACCCAGTAGGAGCAGGGAAACCACCCCCATGGGCAGGGGCTCCGAACATGTTTTGGCCCGGCATATTCATGTCAAATCCAGCAGGGAACGCTGGCTGGCCGGGAAGCGAGGGCGGAGAAGGCATCCCCCCCACCGGAGCGTATGCAGTCTTCTCGCTGCTCATCTCTGGCTTGGATCGGGAGCACAGACCCGCTGGAGAAGCCAAATGAGAGGTTATCAGGGTGAAAGTAAATAACACCGTTTTAAATAATGACAGACCTTGACAGGCGCCCTGGGACGAACCCACGGTGATTCACTTCCGGTATATCATAATTAATAACAAGGATGCTACCGTGTCTGATGCTAACCGTCGATCGACCACTTCATAAAAAAAGAATAATGTAAACATAGTGTGGTTTTTAACAACTAGTGTGAGGGTTAAACAAGGGTTGGGGCTCTGCTTTTATAACGTAATCAATTCATTTTCGTTTTCAACAGACACTCTCGATTTCGTAAATGTCACGTTGCTAGGCCCTAAAATTCGTTTAGATGCAAGAAACGGCCATAGGCCTACATGCAATATGCTATTCGAGTTAAATATAACGTACATATATAAATAATATTCTGATTGGGAAAAAAACTACTCCACATCCTCTGTAAAACCGAACAACACAAGATGGCCATGTTTTGCACCAAACAATAACGTAAACTGATATGGTTGAACAACTGAAAGGCAACACAAACCAAAATTTTTTAGGACAGATTAAGTATTTCAAAACTACTCACAATGCCTGCGATCAAAGTGTCAATCCCAGTTGGGCTCCCCCAAAATTATTTGAGTGTTTTTTCCGCAGGTTCTGCACCACTTTTTCGGTCACTGCCAGTAAACTGCTGTTACCTCTCCGCCCCCAGGATGCGGAATGTTGCGTTCAGGACAAATTTAATTGTTGGTAGAAATGACTTTGTGTGACACCAGCAATAAAATCTTTCATTTATTCTGAAGAAAACTCACGCTTGTTTGACAGAGGTAGACGTTTGAAAAAGATTGTGCATTAAAGATATACCATGGTTTCAACTGTATTTAGTTAAATAAAGTAAACGGCTTTTTTTTTGCTGACGTTAGACAGCACTGTTTGCGTGGTTTTCAGGCAATTACGTATTATTTCGGCACTTACATCGGAGCTTGCAGTCGTATTTGGGGCTTTGCTATTGAAGCTTTTAGAAATCGGACGCTCAAATTACAAAAACTCCGATACTACCTGAATGCGGCATGAAACCATGTTCTCATTATACATCCATGTGTTCGACTCATTGAACGACTATCAAAATGGAAATAAGTCGATAACAGATTTAGTAAAGACGAAAGTGAATGGAAAATACCTTTGAAATACATTTATCTGTAAACATTAGCAAAGAGTTCAGGCAGTAGTAGGCTTTTAGGCCTACTGAATTAGTTTAATTCAAATGTTGAGGTTATTTTACTTAGTATTTCCAATTTATTTAACGTTATGGATGGATTACTGTGGCACTTTCGAGAGGATTATTTAGCATGTAGGCCTACTTTATTACAGTTTAGTTTTTTTTGTTGCAAATTAACATTATTTATACAAAAAATAGAAATGTAGATCTACTGTTGTTGGCTGCAACATAATGTAAACAATTTGACAATTAGACATAGGTCTCAGACGTTTTGTTTCTTTCGGGATGTTTTCTACATTGTAGATTTATACTGAAGACATCAAAACTATAAAAGAACACATGGAATTATCTAGTAAACAAAAAAGTGTTAACAAATCCAGAATATGATTTATATTTTGCTGGCTACTGCAGAATGCTGTGGTAAGTGTGCCTTGAATTATGAATAAATCAGCACCCCCCCACCCCACACCATCACACTTCCTCCTCCTCCATGCTTCATGGTGGAACCACACATGCAGAAACCATCCGCTCACCTTCTCTGCGTCTCACAAAGACATGTCGGTTGGAACCAACAATCTCCAATTTGGACTAACATTACATTACATTACATTGCATTTAGCTGACGCTTTTATCCAAAGCGACTTACAATAAGTGCATTCAACCAAGAAGATAGACACTTGAAGAAAACAGAATCATATAAGTACATCAGGTTTCATAGAGCCAAAACATTTCAAGTGCTACTCAACTGGCTTTAGATGAGCCAGTCCTTTATTAGTATAAGTGCTTTGTTAGTAATTCTATCGCTCGAAGTGGAGTCGAAAGAGATGAGTTTTCTGTTTGCGCCGGAAGATGTGTAAGCTTTCTGCTGTCCTGATGTCAATGGGGAGCTCATTCCACCATTTTGGAGCCAGGATAGCAAACCCACGTGTTTTTGCTGTTGGGAACTTGGGTCCCCCTCGCAGTGGTACTTTGGTCTAATCAGACCAAAGTACATATTTCCACTGTCTAATGTCCAATCCTTGTGTTTCTTGGCCCAAATATTCTCTTCTTCTTGTTGTTCATCCTCAGTAGTGGCTTCTTCGGAGGCCTGATTCACGCAGACTCATCTGAACAGTGGATGTTGAGATTTGTCTGCTACTTGAGCTCTGTGATCATTTATGTGGGCTCTAATCTGGGATGCTTTAATTTTCAGTTTCTGAGGCTGGTAACTCTTGTGTATTTTTCCTCTGCAGGAGAGGTAACTCCTGCTCTTCCTTTCCCGGGGGGGGGGGGGTCTTCATGAGAGCCAGTTTCATCATAGCGTTTGAGAGACTAAGTAAGCGTTTGGTTTTTGCGACTGCACTTGAGGATACATTCAAAGTTCTTGACATTTTACGGATCGACTGGCCTTCATTTCTTAAAGTGATGATGGACGGTCGTTTCTCTTCACTGAGTTCAGTCGTTCTTGCCATAATATGGATTACAACAGTAGTCAAATAGGGCTATCCACTGTGCACTAACCCTACCTCTGCACAACACAACTGATGGTCTCAAACACATTAAGAAGGTAATGGAAGTAATTCCACAAATGGACTCTTGACAAGGCACACTTGTTAATTGAAAACCATTCCAGGTGACGACCTCATGAAGCTGACTGAGAGAAGCCAAGAGTGTGCAAAGCTGTCATCAAGGCAAAAGGGGACTGCTCTGAATAATCTAAAATATAAATCATATTGTGGATTTTCTTACACTTTTTTGTTAACAAGATAATTCCATATGTGTTCTTTCATAGTTTTGATGTCTTCAGTATTAATGTACAAAGTAGAACACAATTCAAATAAACAAAAACCATTGAATGAGAAGGGCCGTGTTAACCAGGAGGGGTCAGGAGGCAACTGTCTTGGTTGAATAACCAGAGAGGGCAACCAGGGAGACTTACAAAACAGTATTTATTATATCTGTCGAGTGTTGGCCCCTTCAGCTGCCTGCCTCCGTCAAACTCCAGGTCACATCACACGTTTTTTACAGCTTTACAAACACATTAGTTGTTGTGACTGTCATGTAGGATTGTAAACAGGTGAACTCAACAGGGAATGGACTGTGCAATATGTGTCCCTTTCAGTTATTGGGGTCTGCTTAACTACAGAAAATGTAATATTGCAGTGAAATAAAGAAATCAATACTTTTCATAATTTGTACAGAAATATTGAAAACATATCCCAGGGTATTTTGAGGTTTTGGATTTATTTGATGTGATGAGCGTGAGGAAATCTGGCAAACAGCTTCTTTCAATTAATAGCTGCATGTTGAAAGAGGGACTTCACCTACTTACTATTTTGGAGACATAGCAGGCTGGATTCATGTTACCAAAACATCTAAGTTGGTTTAATATGTAAACAGAGGCAAGTATCAAACTAAGCAGCAGTGTCTCAAGTGTAGACTAATCGCATACAAATGTGTGATCCCTCATTAGTTAGTGACTGAGGTCTCCAGTGATGCATATTTGCCACTTGGGTTTCCATCTTGGAATAAGTGACAGAATTAGACTCTTTCTGCTGAGAGATGTTATTAAAAGTCAAACAGATTATATCAAAGTTAAATATTAGCTATATGCTTAAAAAACAATACAGTTTTGACTTCTTTTTAACTGAGACCACTGTGTGACAGGATTTCATGAATCAAATTAAAAACTATGCCCAAAACAGACATTAAACAAAATACAGAAGACTTAAAACATTGAAGGGAATTTTTCTTTTATTTCACATATGTTTGCATTATTTTTTAGTCATGCCTTACAAAAAAGCAAGGTGAAACTGTTGATGTCTTTGCACAAGTAAACATTCAATGTCAAACAACATCAAATGTAAACATTTAACAGTTCTCACACCTTATTCAAATTGGTCAAGTATAAAAGTGACATTAAAGAATTAAGAATCAATTTGAGAAAACATTGAATCTACAGAAAACGCGTTGGACTTATTGCTACCTTTCCGCTCCTCTTTTGTTCTTTATACACAGTGTATTGCTTTTAAGCCAAGTTTAAACATCCATCACATGCTCTTTAACACTATGAGGAAGCACATGTGGAATTGATCTAGGCTTTATACTTAAACACAAGATAAAGGGTTTATTATTGTAAGGCTCCATAATAAATACATAAATAGCATAATTTAAAAAAGGCACATTATGAAACATTTTGTCGAAATGAAAAATTCATATTCAACAAGTGTTTCTTCCCTTTTGCAAAATGTACTGGAGGTGCAATTTAAAAAGGAAGAAAAGTGAGTGCCTTCAGCTGTCACTTCAGTATATTGTCTTATGAACAACAAAAAAATACATTTATAGGGAACTAGTAGACAGTATCTAATCTATCTCACGCCAAACAGTTATAAAAAAAGACGACAATCTTAACCTCTATATCAATGTTTGCATAGCTTTTTCCAAACAAAATACAGGTCCAAAACTTTGAAATACTGAAAACTGCATAATGACATAGTGTTTTCATATGTATGCAAGTGTTTTGGTTGGGTTAGTGTTTTGGTTTTCAAAGAAGTGGGGAAAAAACCTGGTTATAAGACGTGAATGCACTTGGAACTTTTATACAAATTCCACTGCATTATATATATATATATACACAATTCAGCGATGGATGACATGAGGTCCAGGTAGTTTACTTCAATCAACATTAAATACTTTCCTGCTGAATAAATATTAAATATTTATATTCAATAGTGCCAAAATTATGATCTCACTTGAATAAAAAATATGGTTAATCTTCCTTTCGCTCCACATTTTTGGTGATTTCTTTAGGCTCTTTGGTTTAAGGACTGCCAAGTTAAAACCTGGGTGTGACAACCATCATAACAGTGCCTTCATCATGGGATGATTTGACCTCCCCTTCTTTCCTGCTTAAAGGTAGTTTTCATGGTTTTACTGCATGCGATCTGTCTGGAGCTGCTGAGGTTGGTACTGGCTGAAAGCGACAGCAGCAGCGGCAGCTCCCGGGGTGGCAGCAGCGGAGAGTGGCTGCTGGACAGCGTATCCGTACCCTGCTGCAGTCATGTAGCTTGTTGGTGCTGGTGAGGCAGCGTAAGGATACTGCTCATAGGCAGCAGCAGCTGCAGCAGCGGTGGCAGCCGCAGAGTACTGGGCATACGCTGCTCCAGTATAGTCAAGGTATGGGGAAGTGGCAGCAGCAGCTGTTGCTGTAGCAGCAGAAGATTGTACATGAGGGATCATCATGCTGGGCTGGACAAAGGCCTGAGGGTAGACATAGTGTGCAGGGACACTGTAGGACAAAAAAGACACACAGGGTTAAAGTAGAGCCACAGCCAGTCATCTTTCCAACGCTGAAACTAAATTCTTAAAAATGTCAAAGCAGGTGCCTCAAAAAAAATCAATCCAGTCTTCAGAACACAGCAAATCCATTCATTAACAATGAAACCCCTACCTAGAAATGAAAAGTTAAAGAAGCAGCAACACCACAAAGAAACACAAGCGCAGCTTTTAATTTAGAAAGGCACCTGAATCTGAAACACAGTAAGGCATTTAAAGAAGACAGCCCAGCTCGGCACCCAATGTTTCACTGAAAA